AGAGGATTAATTCATAGCAAGCTGGAAGAATTTGCTTGGCAAGTAACACTGATTTCATTTTTCTTGCTAACTTAATATGAAAAAAGAAATTAAAATTTTTAACCCTAATTATATAATTTAAAACAAAAATTTTTCCTTACTTCACCCTTGTTCTCTGAAGCATAATATTCCATTTCAGGAACATCAACCAATTTAATTTTGCAGCATGGTATTGGTGGTCCAACATGTCCTACATTAAAAGTCATAATTAAACAAAATACTTAAGAAAAACTCTACTCACAGTAATACTTACCAGCTGTATAATCTCCGTGAACTGTTAAAGTACATGGTGCAACACCTTCAGTTTGACCATATCCCTCTACAACCTATATATTATGAAAATTAGTATCTACTGTAGTAATAAAAAACAAACAAAGAATCTTAAAAAATTCTTACAACACATCCAAGAGCACATCTAATAAAGGTTAACACGTTGCTAGCCAATGGTGCCGATCCACAAACCAGCAATCTAAGCCTTCCTCCCATACCTTCTCTCACTTGTTTAAATACAAAATCCCAAGCTGAATTATTCCTGATAACCAATCTAAATTTAAAAAGATAGCTTATAAGTCCTTAAAATAAGTATAAATAGATTTCAGCAGTATTATAAACAACCTTACCGTTTCAATTCTGACTGCTTTCTTTTCATTGCAAAATTTAAAAGAAACTTTTTTGCAAAACTTCCACTTACTGTTGCCTGAACCTTTATTAAAAATAATTATTCTGATTAAGATTGTACATAGGAACAAAATATTTCAACTAGATTCTTTCAAGTATATTTTATAATTAAAAAAACTGCTGTAATAATTATTTTTTCTAAAAATAAATAGAATGAGAAGATTTTAATAGACTGATAACTGATGTTGGGTATGCTGATACCAAATGGACAATAGCAAGTTGACATTTGAATCATCAAGATGCTATCTTTACCTCTATCTATACAAATGAAACTATTTAATTTTTTCAGTAAATTTTGTGAAATCTGATTGAATCAAGAAGGTTCAATGTACAACAATAACAAATTTTATGCAACTACAAGTCAGGACCATCTGATGCTTTTTTTGGTACATAGTCTTTATGTGCCAAAGAGTTAAATAAGAGTTAAATATTTAAACTTATTTCTTACAGTTCATTTATACAATGCAAATTTAAAAAAAATATCACTTTCAGGACAAGTAAAACTTTCCATTTTTAGATCCTGAGATTAGTCACTTAAATACAAGAACTTTCAAATCCATAAAATGCAAGTGTTATGCCAAAATTTAGATTATCCAGACCTAATGAGATCCAAACTTTATACAACCACTAATATTTGTTGGGTGAAATTGAAAATCAAAAGCATAAATTAATTGAATAGTTTGTGTTAATTTATTAGCTATCCTCTAACTATTAAAACATTGATGTTGATTTTTGTAGTGGTTTCTGGATTCTTGTAACATTATACAAAAGCATTGTTCAGAAACTTAAAGCAGTTGCATTGATTTTACATAAAAACTTAATATCTGATTAACAAGTATTAAATTTTTTGTCTAAGCTTGGTCTTCAAAACACTTCAAAAAAACTTATACCAACAAAATGAAAAAAAAATCTTTCATTCCACAACTTCTTTGACATTTTTAACAAAAAGATTGAACAAACATCACTGAACTAGAGATTGAATTATAAACTAAGAAATGTATTTAAATTAGCTATGTGATCACATGGATTTTTCCCATGTAAAGCTATGTCTATTATAGTAATTACTTTTTATGTAACTTCAAAAACATGTATTTTTCAATAAATAAATATCTAAAAACAAGATTTAAAGGATTATTGCAAGAATAAAAAATTTATCTTAAACACTTAAACAAGCTTATATATTGCAACAGCATCACAATTCTAACATGCAATTTTTAAATCATATTTTTCAGTTTTAATTTAAAGTATATGCTCTCCACCTCAAATTTGTATTATGTGATGTCTTGCCCCTGTACACCATACTTTTCCCATTAGGAATGGAGTCATGCCAGTCATCTAACTCCTTTCAGGGGAAAATTTTTTGAATTGAAATAATTGACTTCCAATTTGCATTGAAGTTCCTATACATATAGTTAATTGGAGCCTCTTGCCCCTAAGATTTCCACATCTGGTCTTTAATTTCATTTATCTAACACTGAGATTAAGGAAAGACAGATGGACGGACAATAGTGAATTTATAGGCCGACAATTTTTTTTCAAATTGCATCCAATGAAAGATTAATAGCTTAATATAAAGATTTGCTGGACTACTTACTGAAGATAAAAACTAATAGTAAATCAGATTACAAAATAGTAAAATAGAGATGGAGTACAATAAGCGACCAAAATATGGGAAACAAAATTTTATTTTATACCCTTCATTGCTCAAGAAAATAAGGATTTAGTATTTTAATTTTCAGAATAATGCTAAATTTTTTCTTATTTACACCACAGAGGATTAATTCATAGCAAGCTGGAAGAATTTGCTTGGCAAGTAACACTGATTTCATTTTTCTTGCTAACTTAATATGAAAAAAGAAATTAAAAATCTAGAAAAAAAATCACTAAAAAACACTTATTCATAAAATTTTACATTTGTTTTTGATGTTATGTAAAAACTTCAGAATTAATACATTAGTCAATATATTAATTAAATCTCAATTGAAAAAACCTTACTCAATATAATCCTAAAATTTTTAGTATATATTATATTATTCATGAAGATTACAATGTTACTTTTTGACTTCACAAAGTGTCTGAAGAAAAATTATCCATATTCAAGGAAAAAAATTAAATATCATTTTAATATAATGCTCATTAACACTTCATCCAGAATGAAATTTAAATCTTATTAAAATAATTTAAATTTCAAAGTAGTACTTCCAATAAAATTGGAGAATTAAATAGATAATATTATATTAAACATACAAAACAGTAAAAATTTTAGTGCTTAAGAAAATTCAAGCTAAAAACAAACCATATAATATGGTAATTAACATTAATACTTTAAGTGAAAATATTTATCTAAATATTTCTCCTTATGATATTTTAAACATAACTAATCAGACTTTCAAGAATTGGAACATTTTAGTATTAATAAATAGTAATGAAATAATTGTTTTTCTCAAAGTTTTATTAAATTAAAATACTTAAATTAAAAATGAGATTGAAAAGTATTTAAAATTATCTGCTGAAAGTTATTCAATAGTAGTATAACTTTAAAATCAAGCACTATTTTAATAAATTAAGTCAAGTCCAAGTTAAAAATTAATACTTTGTTGTTCAAATTCAAAAATACAAGTCTCACCTATCTAAAGTAAATCTGCTTAAAAAAATAGTATTGAATTTTTTTGTATGTTTGCTTTATAATTTCATTCTTTTTACTAGGGTGTTCTATGCAGACTTCAAAATTTTGCTGANTTAAAATTTAAATGATCAAAGTTTACCTATAAAAATTAGATCATTTGTGGTATTAAGATAAAATATATAAAGAATTTTGATGGTCATTTGAAACTATACATTTTATTTATACAAACAACAATCCTCAATTCCAGCCAAATCAACTATCTTCAACAGCAAAGATTCTAATGGCCTACATGACCATTCTGCATTGTTTACAGGTTAAGAATTTAAAAATGACCAACATGATGAATAATACACAACTTATCAATAAATAAATTGAAATGAAAAATTTTAGTGCTTAAGAAAATTCAAGCTAAAAACAAACCATATAATATGGTAATTAACATTAATACTTTAAGTGAAAATATTTATCTAAATATTTCTCCTTATGATATTTTAAACATAACTAATCAGACTTTCAAGAATTGGAACATTTTAGTATTAATAAATAGTAATGAAATAATTGTTTTTCTCAAAGTTTTATTAAATTAAAATACTTAAATTAAAAATGAGATTGAAAAGTATTTAAAATTATCTGCTGAAAGTTATTCAATAATAGTATAACTTTAAAATCAAGCACTATTTTAATAAATTAAGTCAAGTCCAAGTTAAAAATTAATACTTTGTTGTTCAAATTCAAAAATACAAGTCTCACCTATCTAAAGTAAATCTGCTTAAAAAAATAGTATTGAATTTTTTTGTATGTTTGCTTTATAATTTCATTCTTTTTACTAGGGTGTTCTATGCAGACTTCAAAATTTTGCTAATTAAAATTTATTTAAAGTAATATATTGACCANGAAAAAATATATTAACCTATTCCCTGTTGAAATTTTTCTCTGTTGTGTGGCACTTCGCGTTGAATTTTCACGTTAAGCTTAAATAATTTTTTAAAATAATAATCATGGCTATTGTATTGTTAAAAATTATTTCTTTATTTTGTTTGTACAAAATAAATATTGAAAAATATAAGAACAAAAAAAATTATATTTCAGAAGTTAATCTAGTATCAAAAACATTAGATTCAGCACAACTGGAACGCTTTTGGTTAAAAGACATTTCAGCTGATCGGCTTTCGGATAAACGAAGCTCTACTGTACTATAAAATCTTGTGTAGTGCAAAAATCACATTAGACTAAGCATCAGTATGAGAAAGTTATTTCAAAAGCTAACAATAATTCCTCAAAATCTTAGATATCCTGTAGCAACATTTCTAAAAATTGTTCATTTTTCTTTATGATCCAGATTATTATATCAAACTTAATTTAAGCAAATGTAAAAAATGCATGGTACCCTTTCCCTTTTTTGAAAGTCTAAAATTTATACAGTTCTTTGATCACTGCCTTTTAAATTAGGCTTAATAAAAGTAGAATTGAATTTTTCTGTACATTTGAGATTATTGACTAAGTCAATCTCAAACAAGGACAAATCCCTCCAGATCTTTGCAAATCTGCAAGAATTTGCAAAAAGATAGTTCTATTAATTACATTTAACAAAGACAAGATTTTCTCACAAGCTTAAATAGTATGTTACATGAGATTTTTTCCACTTAAAAAATTATGGAAAGTGAAAAGATGTAGAAGTTCCATGTTATATAAGAGTTACCTATGTTAATTTTGAAATTTTAACTATCATATTTATAAGTTGGAAATTATGCTAAAATAAAAACTCCTATAAGCAAGCAATAGTAATGTAATGTACCATATAAATGTATGTGTGCTTTAACTTCCAGTGATACATATACATTATTATTTTTTAAAAAATTGTTTCTGAAGAAAATTCAACATTGTATGGAGGTGATGAATAAAAGTTTAAAGCCAAGATTTTTATTGAACTGTATCTGCAGATTTAAAGAAAAGTTAGTTAATATAATTTGCATTCATTATATTTTTCATCTTCATACATGGTTCCTACTCACATTTTTGTTTCAAAATTCCCTGACTCTCTGATCAACACAAATTCCCGGACTCACATCTGCTACAGTAAAGCACATTGACAAAACAGCATATAACTTAGTACGCAAATAGGCTATTGCTTCTTAGATATTTTAAATTTAATTATAAAAAATAACTAAAGCTAACATAATTTTTATAATTAAAAATAATTTAATAAAAACATCTTAGTTTAAAATTCTGAATTAATAAGATATCATAAATCTATTGTCTTTGAAAGAATAATAGCTTTATTTTTTTCATTAACAAATCCTTTACAAAGTATATTATTTTTATTAAATTTCTCTATTAATCTAAATATATAAAATTACTTGTCCTGACTGACCGATCATCACCCAGAGCAAACTGCTGAACCTAAAGAGGTGAAATTTGGTACACAGTAAGGGTAAGTCACGAATACTCACACTAAGAAGGGATTTTTCTAAGTTCCACCATGGGGGAGAGTATTAAGGCTTAACCTGAAAAAACAGCTTCAACTGTACTATTTTAGATGAGATTTTTTGTTTTGTTTTCAATTACATTTAGTCTTCATTGAGTACTTAGGTATATTATATTGATAACATTTCAGACATTGTTATATTTTTATATATATTTCGATTTTTTAACCAAATGTTTGAACTGTTTTAAATTCAAATTTGTTATTACATATTGGTTCAATTATAGAACAATTGTAAACGTCCCAGAAAATTGATCAAACTGAAAATAGTTCTTTTGATTCTCAGCAATTCTCATCATCATTCTCAGCAGTAGGTGCTATATATAACAATTACTATTGTTAAAATACTGAATATAAATGGGGGCTTGCTTGCAAAATCCACACAGGCAAAGTTGCATGTACTACAGCTAGTATATTATAAAGTTCAGGAAATTTATTAATATATTTCCTGAACTTTATATATAATTTTATATATATATAAAATTATAAAATCAGAAATTGTTTTGTTACACAATCAAAATTATTCAAATAAAAAAATGATAATTTTAATTAAATAATAAAATGATAACAAAGTACATGATACTATTTTTCAGTTGATTAACATTTGCCCTCAAACAGTGTAAATGGCAAATTGTGAGAGATTGGTAGAGTTTAAAAAATTTCAAAAAATTTTAATGTTAGATTATTAAGAGTATTAAAGAACTTTTCTAAAATTCACAATATAGCATAATTAACACAGCTGTGTTAAAACTTACAGATGACTATATATTTGGGATTTAGTTTAACCCCGACATTTTGCAATGATCTCCTCTGTTGCATTTTGTAGTTCTTCACATAAGCAATCAGTGTTAGTTTTTAATATTAATCTGTACTATCAGTAATAGTAAATGTCTAATAGTTGTATAAACATTAAAAAAATACACAACGTGATTTCAAAATTAAATTACCTGCAGAAGGCTGCACTTGGTCTACCATATTGTGAGAGAAAAAAAAAAAGGCAGCCAAGGAGGCAAATTCCCTGACTTTTCATTGGTGTTTAGAAAAAGTCATGGAAAGTCCCAATTTTCCAGATGCATAGGAATCCTGTTCGTAACATGAACTTATCTGCATTAACAGTATACGAGACATTTAGATGTTACTCTGTTTGCATCTACTATAAAATTTAGAGTACCCTCCAAAGTTCATGGGAATCACCAGTAGAGAATGTATTAGAAATAAAATACAATATTTTCAAATTGGTTAAGATTCTAGAATGTTTGATTTTCTGCAAATGAAAATAGCAGTAACTGTTTTGTAATGTGCTATCAGCAAACATGTTTTGTTTTCTAATCTTGATGAATACAGAACTTAAATTTAAGTCATTTTTTTTACACACTACAAAATGATAGGAAAACAATCAGTATTTCTAACTAGACCTAAGAGTTCCAAAAGAAAACAAGATTTACTTAGGAAAAATGTATTGGTAAAATTGTTTCAATAATGATTACAGTATTCTGGTTTAGCTGCTAACTAAAAAGTCCACACAAAAATGCATTTATAACAAATGACAGCTAAAATTATTAAATTCACTTAAATTTAAGTAATTTCAAACAGCATAAGTCCATTTACTTCTAAAAAGTTATTTATTGATTTGATTTGTCCTATTGTTAAAAATATTTAGAAGATTATAATGGTGATTGTTACTCATTATTGTTAGTATTTTTAGTATAAAGTGGATCTACTCTAATACACAAATACAAAACTACTAGAGAAACATATGACCTACCAAAAACATGAAGATAAATTTTCCTGCAAAAAAGTTACTACCTAAAATTTCTAAATCATTAATTTTCTTCTAGGTTGTTGAAACTTATTCAAAATTTGTTTTTAATGTCCTTTTAAAATGGGTGTTAATTATTTGAAGGTCAATAGTAATAAAATCTCTAATAATAAATCTTAGAAAACAGATTAATTTACCTCAATTTCACTGAAGCTATACAGCTGTATTTTGTATCTTTCAGCAGTTGCTTTTGTTTCATCCGATATTTTCACTGTAGTAATAATTTGTTTTAATCCCGGTGTTTTATCTGCTTCTGCTAATATAGTTTTTACTTTTTCTTCTTTATCACATACAACTGTTTTTATTTCAGCTGAAAATATTAAAGCTAATTTAATTAACACAGACATTTTATATATTATTAACAATCATTTCACAATTTAACAAAATCACTACAGAATTTTTAACCTACTTTAAAATTACTTTAAACTAAAATTTTTGTTTATTCTGAAATTTAACATTAAAAATATATATCTTACTTTCATTAACAATAAAAGTACACGCTTCAGTTCCAAGGGTATCGTATAAAGGAACAATTATAGCTGATATATGATAACAAGCATGCTCTGTTAAAATCCACTATAACATAAAATATGTGATTAATACAAAAATATTTCTGAATTAAACTTCAGTTATAAAAATATTAATTCATGAGGATTTTAGTAGCAATATGTTATAAACAAATTACAGTAGATTCTTAACATATGTAACTTAAGAAGTTTGTTCTAGGATAATATAGGATTTTAATTTTTCCAAACTAAATTTAAATCCATTAAAAAACTATTAATTTTTAAAATTAGAAGTTAATATATTGTTAAAAATAAAGGATTTGCTTTTAAGACAGTCAAATTTATTTTAAATAAAAAATAATACTTAAATTTCAGTTCATTTCTAAAATTCAAAAGTTGCATAAAATTTAAATTACCTCTACAGAATTTTGAGAATAAATTCCTATAAATGTGTCTTGACCTGGCTTCACACCTATATGAACTAAACCAGAACCAAAATTTCCAGCTTTTGTTAACACCTAAAAGATTTCAAATAATTAAGACTTCAAGTATTTCAATAAAAATAATAATTTACAATTACTTTATATTTACCTCATTATATGAAAGCCATTTATACGGACTATCTTTGGAAGGCCTCCATCCAAGACAGGGACCATTATCTTAATAAAAAAATTGAGAATTAAAATTTAAAAATTTATCATCTCAATTTGAAATAGTATATAATTAGCTATTTACTGGATACTCTTGCTCCTCTACGCATCAGTTCATACATCGTTTTAACATCATCGTAAAGATATTCAAAGAGTTTGCCATTTTTGCAGAGACAAGATAAACGTGCTCCATCCTACAGATAATAATATGGCAATATTTAATTATAATAAACCGATAATTCGACATTTATGAAGATGTCAAAAAACTCACCGGCTGCTCTATCGACTGTCTGTTCAGATCGACAGGCGGAACAATGGGATTTGGGGAATTCATGTAGTATAATGCCGCCGCACCTGCAGCACTCGCAATTGCAGTTGCTCCTATTATGCCACCAACGTACTGGAGATAGTCCATCCTGTAACATAGCATATAAGATTAACCTGTAGAACAGGTTGAAAGAAAAAATAAGGTAGATGTATTAAAAGTTAAACTTAAGGAAATTTTGATTATGCATTAGGTCATTCTTATAAGCTAACAGATAAGCTTGCATAATTCACTACTTGACAAGATTTAAGCCGATTACATATTTGGAAAGATAGAGAAAATTTTCTAAAGTTTTACAGTAAAATGTTTCTGTATTTTAAGATAAATTGAAATTTACTATCAGTTATATTTATATACTGTGTACATTGTTCAAAATCTAGGTCATTTTACTGAATAAAAGTTTCTTCATATTAAAATACATTGGATTTTTCAGCTTTACTAAGGCTAAGTGAACTAATGAAGTCATTAAGTTTTTTTCAAGTTCACAGAACTTGACTAAACACATGAAGACATCCAATAACATCTAACAGCTAATCTAATAAATTAATACTAATTTCATGCATACTTAAGCTAACTAATATTTAAGTAAAATAAGTTTTTTTCCTTTTGATAAAATTAAGTTGTTTGTATTCTTTTTTATTTGCGATATAAAAAAAAAACAACAAAAATCTGAGATGTATCAAGGTCATCCGTTCGAAAACATCACGCCACTATTACGTCATCGCGCTTCGTGACGTCACACATCGTCAGACCGAGCCAAGATTGGTAAACCCGAGATCGCGCCATCGCGCCGAGTCGCGCCGGCATGCGAAAGCGATCACGTTTTTCATCAGGCCTGAATGAGTAACTCTTTCGATTTGGGCGTATTCCAGCCACCAATGCTTGACAGTAAAGCGTCTTATCGCGCGATAAGACAGGAACGGCGAGTTTATAAATAAAAAGCCCTCCTAAACTCTCTCGATGGCCAGCGAGACAGGATATCTACGATTTTTATGTCGGGAATCAAAATAAATGCGGAAATAGCGCCGAGTCAATTACAGTTAACAGACAATGAACTAAAATGGCAGAGTTCTACGATAAGTTGGCACTTTCACGATCGTACAAAATCGCCATAGAAAAAAAAATCGCGCGACGAATTTGGGGAATTCGTATTCGTTAAACAGATGCCCTAGTAAACGAACAAAGCAGGGTTTTCATTCAATTGGACTCATCCTTGGACGCAAAATCGACTTTCTGGACCGAAGTCAAGTGAGACGAATGCGTCCTAACGTTTAAAAAGACGAATATAAGTGATACGAGTGAGTAATACGCTCGTCTACGAAGTAAATGCGACAAAAACTAAACGACACATTTAAACGATTAAAGCGTGTTCTATCGAATCAACAAAGAATGGGGGCAAGGACACGCGCGTGTAACTGACGACAGAAACACTCTGTACTTGTTCTTAATCTACTCGAACATCTTAAATTCCGGATAGAAAATCTGAATATAAGTTTTCCTCAAGGTTACTAAATAAAAAAAAATTATATAATTTGCCACTGCCACTAAATTTACCTTAATACGCGATAAATTGTGTATGACGTACAGAAAGATCGCCCTTAATTACCCATTGCAAAATTGGTGGTTATATGTTAAGAAAACCAATCAATAAGATCCTCCTCCAAATTCAAGGTAAATTGTAGCTAGAAGTCTGAAGGGTTGAGAAAATGTCAAGTTATTCTGGTAACCTAATAATTTTGTTATATCAATGGGCTATTTTAATAGTTGTTTACCAATCTAAACATAGGAAGCAATTTTTTTCTTTCTTATTAGTGCCAAAATTATAATAGGCTTACATTAGATTACATAACTTAAAAGTTTAGTGTTTGAAAGTTCAAAAACAATTACTTATTTTTATTAGTATCAATAAGATTAATATTAAATTTGGAAGAAGTTCATTAAGATGAATAATAAAAATATGCACTAAGAAATGGGCTTTAATTTAAAAAGAAAAAAAAAAGGCCACTGGTGAGAAAATGTTTCTAATCCATGCAATTACATACTACAAATGGCTATAAGCTACTTAGTAACTTAGTCTCATTAAAAAAAAGTTTAATATTAAGATTAGCTTTAGTCAATAATTTTGAAAAAAGGTGTTATTTTTAACTACTAAAGTAATTGCATTTAAGTTTAATTCCTTCAATTTTACATATTTGCATTTTGTTATGTTAAGCATGGTATTAAAATTAAAAATATATAAGTCTAACTATGCCATGAAAGTCTACTTAGTCAAAAAATTTAAGAATGCATCTCAATATTTAAACAACAAATTAAAATTCAGTAGCTTTAAGAATTAAAAATTCAAAATTTATTCCAGTTAACACATTAACTACTATAATAATTCCAATAATCTACATAAACTACTTACCACAAAATGATACTTAATATATTGTACTGTACATTTTATAGGAGGGAGGAAAAAACAATGTATGATGACAAATGCAAATTCCAAATAAAACATTTCACTCTGTTTTTAGAACAAAAAAGGTATAACATTCTAAGAATCATAAACAATGTAAAATTTGTTTTTAAACAAAAATCACTGAATATATGACTTAATTGAAACTGAACTAATTCGCTAAACATTACAAGAGTTTAGAATATAATAGCATATTTTTGTTTTTTGTTAATTGTCAAATCATCATCAATAGCCACTATTGTTTTCCCTATTTGTTCTGAACTTCCTTTAATTTGTGCAACTTAATACTAAAAGCTTTAATTTAAATTTTCTATAAAAGTACGTTACTTTAAAGATAATTTCTACATACTTCAGAGATTAAGGTATTCGCATTAAAAGTCTGCTGTCATAGAAAGGAACAAATATAAACCCACTATTTAGCAGTAAATAGTGTCATAACTTACTAAAATGACAAAGAATTCCCTCAATGTAACAAAAAAAAAGTGTCAATTTAACTTATTCATTTACAAAAATTGTTCTGCTATTATATGTTTAAAACTAGATAAAAAATGTTCTTAGTTTACTTCTCGTCCAATTAAGATACTCTTGCTTGTTCAAATTTTTCATTAAAAATTTATTTTGCCACCATACTAGAACATCCATTTGCTCAAATATAATATACATTAGTATTAACACTTTATTTTGTTACTCTCAGAAAATAATTATTAGCAAATAAAAACTTTTGCACTGTAATTTTAACACATTAATAACTGATGTATATTCTTTGCTTAACTGAAGATAAGTCTTCTATATACAGTAAAACTTTGCTAAGTTGAAGTTTAAGGGATAAAAAAAACTTGAAACCAAGTCCAACAACAAGTTCAAAACTCATTTTCTCAAATTTTTCTGTGGCCATAAATTTGTTGTCAAGCTGTTCAAGAATCTATTCACAGAACAATTATAAAATTGTAGTTAAAATAACCAAACACCTTAGTATTTCCAGCAACGAAGTATTTAATAAAATAATTCTATTTTACGTTCTTTTTTTGTTTTAAAGTGGTTTAACTGAAGAAGACTATTAAAAATAGTCGAACATTTTTATTTTATTAAATACTTCGTTGCTGGAAATACTAAGGTGTTTGGTTATTTTAAGTATTTATATTCCAGTAAGTTATTTTGTTTTATTATAAAATTGTACAGTTCGCAATGCTTTTGGAGGACATTATCAAAGCACCTATGTCCCCAAATCAAAACTGGTAGCACTAATCAGCAGAAGATGATCAAGCACAAGGTTTTAATGGCGTGGTGTAATGTTTGGCATGAGCCATAGTGCTTGTTCATCTTATAATCATCTGTAATCACACTGAATAAGATGATTGAAGATCACAGTCCTATCAAAGGACAATAGGTACACAGAAAAACAAGTCAAAGTTAAGTACAGCAATTTCAAGTTAAGAAATGAAAACCATGCTGACAACTTTGAATTAATGCAATTTGACTTAAAATCATGCAAAGTAAAGAATATACAGCAAGCCCCAACTAATAGGGAGTGAAGATTGTCCAAGTTTACATAAATCAGAGTTAGCAGGATATTTTCTCCAATGACATGAAAAACAAGATTAATGTACAGTACAGTAATTTAAGATTAGCTTTGTACAGAAGCTTTACTGAGCTTTAGTAGGTTATACTGTTGAATTATTAAAGGAAGAACTCAATTTCACAATAATAAAAACTGTACATTCTGAATACTGTACTGACTACTGTAATGCAATGCATGATATCACACACTTCTTGATATCAAAAATAAAAAAAGGCACTAATCAATTTTTCTATTATCAATAAAATTTCAAAAAAACCAAATGTCAGAGTTGGCAGAGTCTACTATATATTCATTTATCATAAATATTTGTTGTTATTTGACTAACTTGTTGGGTATTAGCTGCTTTAACTATCTTGCACCATGTTATTTGTCAGAACAATGTATGTAGATTTTAGTAGTGATAAATTTTTGTATATATTATGAAAAATTTGGTGAGGATATTTTTTGCAGATGGTAAAAGTGTAAATTATTAATATTGATAGAACATTTTAATTTGTGATAACCAGGAGAAAAAAAGATACTTACTTTATTGGTAAATTTTGCATTTTAAGATGTAAATAATGTCTGTTTATACAAAACTCATTATATTTCTTCTTAATATTAAAAATGTAATATAAATAAATACTTTTAAACTTAATTAGGTGTGTAAAATATGAATGTCATTAATAAATTTACAATTTAAGAAAGACACTGTCATTATTGTATCACAGAAATAATTTCTTTCAACAAGAACTTTTTAAATTTATTCCTCAAAACTTACAACATAATTCAAAATGAATGAATGAATATGAAATATGTATATATACATAAACACACACAGCACTTGAATTTAGTAGTATTCTTATACAATTACTTTTTACTCTTTGAACTATTTAAAAAAAGAACGTTAATTTTTAAAACATTCAGAAACTGTAAAAGTTATGTTTCAAGAATTAAAAATTATGACTTACGTAATTACTCTCAATTAGTAAAAGTAAAAATATTTTATGACACTAATAAAAAACAAAAGTAAAGAAAACACCTTTAAAAAGGTTAATTGTTGTTCTATACTTTT